CTTCATGGAGCCCGAGCTTTAGTGAAACTCAGCTCCTTCAAAGCTGGGGGGGATTTGTGTAACAATTATTTAGTGGCAAAAGTGGACAAAGCATGATGATTCTCATAGTCGTGGATGGTTATTGTTTTTGTTGTCGTTGTCTGTTTGAGACAGGGTTTCTCTGTGTAACAGCTCTGACTGTCCTGACTCACTCTGAACACCAGGCTGGCCTCAAAGCTCGCAGAGATCCACCTGCCTCTGCCTCCTGAGTGCTGGGATTAAAGGTCTGTGACTCCATGCCCAACAGTGATTGGGTTTTTACCTTGGAGGGATGGTGTGATACATATTAGGATGGAGAATAAAACAGAACAAGTAAACCAAGTTGCTGCACACCCGCAATGCTAGCACTCAAGAGGCGGAGGCAGGAGAATTGCTCTAAGCTTGTGGCCTACACCCTGTTCTACACAATGAGCTCCACGACATCCAGTGAGACCCTGTCTTTAAACCAACAAGCAAAGGAATGAATTGGAGCCTTTGGTGGGGGAGAGTTTAGCCTTGGACTTGTTGAGTGAAGCAGACATCTTTGCATGGAGGTTCTTTATCACACAGTTGGTCATGCAAATCGAGAGAGTAAAGAAGAAACCCATAGATCAGTGGTTCTCAACCTGTGGGTCTTGACCCCATCAGCAAACCTTTATCTCCAAAAAATATTTATATTACAATTTGTAACAGTAGCAAAACTGCAGTTATGAAGTAACAATGAAAATAATTTTATGGCTGGGAGTCACCACAACACGAGGAAGTGTATAAAAGGGTCGCAGCATTAGGAAGGTTGAGAACCATTGACAGATACAAGTTTAGTTCATGTATGTGCTCATTCACCTTACACTAGGAAAAGGAATTGTTCAAGGAAAATGTGAACGGTAAGAAGAGGCCTCAAAATATGTTGAAATCTGCACTGCAGACCGAGGAGTCAGAGTCTGTTTTAAAGGTGCGGTTTGTTGAGATAGGGCTGGGAAGGCAAGACAAAGTAACCCTAGCTAGTCCCCTTAGCATTTGTTCTGGCCAAACGTCAGCCATGGGTTGTTCCCGGCTCTTAAAAGAGCAGTTCGCGCAGAGTGAGCGCCTCTCCTTGTCCTGAAATGGCCCACAGTCAGGAGAGGCCATGGCTGCCCGCTGCCAGATGACAGCAAAATCCTCTCTCAAAAGCAAGTACAAGCAACCAAAACACTGAGAAAGAACAAACCAAATGAACAAACAACCCCGTCCCCCCAAATAAAGGAAGTGCTTGAGCTGCCAAAGTAAGGAAAGACAGGAAAACTGTTGCTTGCTTCAAATATTTCAAATTGCTGTCTTTTGAGACCCTGGAATCAGGAAAAAACATGAATGGAGTTAAGTCATTTTTAAAAATTTATTTTTATTTTATGTGCATTGGTGTTTTGCCATGGGTGTCAGATCCCCTGGAACTGGGGTTACAGATGGTTATGAGCTGCCATGTGGGTGCTGGGAATTGAACCTGGGTCCTTTGGAAGAGCAGCCAATGCTCTTAACCACTGAGCCATCTGTCCAGCCCAGTTAAGTCATTTTAGATGTAACACTTACTGTCTACACATCAACTGAAAGGAGCTTTCTGATGGAGTGCTGCTCGCGGCTTCCCCATTCCACGCAGGACACTGCAGTCCTGTGTGGAGTGTGTCACCGTGCTGTCCAGCAAGTGTGGACTCAGTGGGTTCAGAAGTCTTCTCCTCTCGGGCTTTGTGTCTAGGCCTGTGGCTACCTCCTAGATTAGTGATTCTTATACTTTAAGAGTCACACGTTCCCTTGAGAATTTGGGGGACAGTTTCAGACATTACCACCAGGAAAAAAAATGCAAGCATGTACTTAAAACTAGAGTAAGTAGAAAGTACCTCCCCCTGCCCTGCAATAGTCCATAGGTGGTAATAGAACTTCAGGTTAGGGCCTTTGTTTTAGTGGTTTTCTCACAGATGAGCACATAGCCACCGCTTATTCTGAAATTAGAGACACCAGAGCCAAGAAGCTTCTTTGAGACTCAATTTCGGGCCACGCCTGAGATTTGCTGAACATCTAACTCAATGCACTGTTGATTTTACTCTGTCATGCTTCCTTTTCAAGTGGCCCCAAGCAACTCACAACTTCACAGATTTATGTACTTAATCATATGCACATATTTTAATTTTGAAATAATGATGCTCTTTGGTGAGACCACATATAGTCAGAGACATGTGTTATTATAACTGAAACTCCCCAGTAGATGGCTTTTGGGGGAGTTCTTTCTGATTAGGGCTGTCTTACATATTTATACTGGAGGAGTTCATGAGCTGTTTCTGATACTTGCACTTTAATCTTGCTTAATGAACTGAGGTAAGCACAATTCTTGTTCTGTTTTGGTAAGCCCGTGGATTTCTTCTGATGCTCAGTTTCATGTGACTACACCATTCTTGAAATGCTAATACACAATGCTAATTCAAGAAAGGACCACAAAAGTTAGATTTCATTTTAGGGAGCCGTAGTCAGTATTCACAGGCCTTCTGGAAGAGTGTGGCTGTGAGAAGAATGATATTAGTTGGGAAATTGGGGCGCCTACTTTTGGTGCACACACAAATTTAAACATATAGGTTGCACAAAATTTGGATAAACTGAGGTGGAATCCAACACTTCTTGCATGAATGCCTGTATAATGTGGCCATAGCTGTGAGAAAAGAGGAGCCTCGCATCGCATCTAAGACCCAACACAATGGAAATGCAATGAATCGGAATGCCTCACAGATCATAGCGGAATCAGAATTTCCAGCAAGGAAAATCTTTTCATGGTGAATTAAGTGGTGGATGAAGAAAAATGGTGATGAAAAAGGTAGGCACAGATCACAAACACTGAGCTCAGGGCTCACGGAGGAAGATTTAAGAACCTTAGCTAAAGCTATGCAGAATAGAATGTGGAAAATTGAATTTACTAAACAATTAAGCATTGAATTAATCTACATCCTGCACAGTAGAAAAGTGGGGGGAGGGAGCCGAGCAGGGCTGAATAAATCAGTGGAGCTCATTAAAAGATAGTGAATATATCAGGTCTGTTGTGGCAGAAAGGAGGACAGTTTCCTGTCTGACATGGAATGATTCTCTGGTTCTAAGTCACCTTTTTGGAGGCCTGCTCTTAATCAGATTAACAAACGTGTTTCTGATGAGGTTGGTCTGTGGCTCTGTATTTTAGCTTGTTATTGCTATCTTTTCTATTAATTACAAGTCAGATCACCAGTCAACAATAGTAGTGAGGGACAACATAAAGAAAATGAGAGTGCCCAGGAGACATCACTCGCAGGATCTCATGCATCCTGAGACTCCCACGGGCTCCTGCAGCCTCCCACATGCCTTGCTGGTCTTTTGTTCAATTACAGTTAATGCAATAGTTTGCCATTTTCTCCTTCTAATTATATTTTCAAGTGGGATTTGTAGCACACAGAAAAACATCCTTTTACATGTCGAGGCACCGGGGTTTTGTGCCTGGCATTGTCTGTCCCCTGGGTGCTGTACCATTCTCTCTGCAGAGCTCTGAATAAACAAGTCCCCTTTTAGAGCTGCAGTTGTACAAACTGAAAATTTATGCATTAACTGTTTGCATTCTGAGCATGTGTTCCAGATTACATCTTACGGCATTCTTCTGGTGTGCTTCAAAATATGTGTCTGCAGAAAACGCTTCTTTCACAGTTCACATGTCTCTCAATCACAGAATCCACAGATCAATTAGCACTGTTTTTGAGAATATGCATAATGGGTGACTTAAACATACACGTGATATGTTCTGTGGATTGATTCCATTTTGGGGGTGGCACAGGTCTTCAGGCCAAAGGTGGGGTGAAGTGTCCATAGAGGAGCATTGAGTCTCCCTTGGGGTTCTAATGCAGCAGGCCTTGTGGGCAGGGTCTTCATTTTGTTCGCCCTGGATGTCTGAATTGTTAGATCTTCTCAGCCCTTTTTATTGTCTCTGGGAATGGGTAAATGCTTTTCAAGAAATAAACAAAGAACAGTGATTCTGCTAGGCATATTCCACTTGTGGAAGGGTCAATAAACTTCACTACAACAGAGTCAGGAACCATGACCGTCTATGACTGAAATGATGTATACATATTTTACACATAAGATCATCTCGCTTTCCCACTAATAATCTTGAAGACAAACATGACTTCCCGGCCAAGATCCAGCTTTCTATTCTGCATCACTCCTACTGCAGGGGATGACCAGTGACTCATGAGGCTGGTTTTGAAAGCAAGCACTAAAAGCTCATTCAAGTCTTGTCTGGTGGTAGAGAGAGATCTAGGAGAAGTATCACCATGATTGTTTCCCCGAAGAACTGAATTTGCAGCCAATCTGAACGTTACTTTCAAATGCACCAGTGATAAGAAGTAACATCTGCTTTCTGTTCAATAGTACAAGAAAGCTCGGCATGGGACTGAGTGTACACAGTCCATGTGAATCTATTGTTAGCATTTCTTTTTTGTCTCTGTGCCTGGTCCATTTGCTGTGTACCATCAGGCAAACAGCTGACACACACTAGCTATTATGGACCTAGGTTGGATTGTGAGATCTTCAGAGCCCCACCAGGTTTGTGGGGCTTCATTTCCTAGAATGAAGCAGGGGCCTCTGGGAACACAGTGCCAGCGATCAGTTCTCCCATTTTGCATTTCTAGAGGAGCAGAGGGCTCTACCAGAGGGTTAAATGTCTAGTTAGACTCAAGCGACAGCAAAGCCCCCTTTGTCTGGAATGTTTTTGTTTCCATGTTAATAAAGCATGCAATTACTTACAGACTCACTATTATCCTCTGGAAGCTGAACCTGGCAGATTTTGAACACACCTATGCAGCCCTGAGCTAGGACCAGTTTTGAAGAAGAGTGGGAGTGTTGGCAATGCTATTCCCTGCAGCCCTCCCCAGTCTGTCGTTGTCTGATGGGATCGCACCCTGGGAACAGATGGCTTTTACTCAGATGTCTGATTTGTGCCCCCACAGCCCTCTTGGAATAGAGATCACGATGACACGGCATCCACCCGTTCAGGAGGAACCCCGGGCCCTTCCAGTGGCGGCCACACTTCACACAGTGGGGATAACAGCAGTGAGCAAGGTAGGAGAGGCGTTCTCATTCTCCCTTGCTTCTTGCTTTGTGTCCAGGGCTTGCAAACTGTCAGAAAGTCAGTGACTATGCCCAGAGCTTCCCCCAGAACATCAACCCCATACAATATGAGAATCTGCTCATCTTGATCAGTCTCTGGCCCAGTTCTTCAGTGCCATGCCATGCCAGCTGCCTGTCACCTGATCGCTTTCACGAATCAACTGAGGCAAGATTAGAGAAACAGATGAGGAATTCCAGTGTGCACAAATAGCATGGCACTAATAGCACTAACAGCCTGGTGTCATGTCCTTGGGGCTTTTCAAAGGGTCGTGAAGAAACCTCCATTGAGAGTCTAAATAAACAGTATCTAAAGATTCTGAGGAAGGGCTAGGGACCTAGCTCAGGGATAGAGGGCTCACCTAGAGTCCTCTTGGCCCTCAGTTCTCTCCTAGCACTACCAAAAGTAGTGCACGTGTGTTGAGGTGTAACTCTTAGAAGGCAATTTGGCAGCCTCTGGTAGGCTTCCCTCTGCACGGGGTCTGAGGCCATTTCTTCTGGTTTTAGTTATTTTCTTTGAGGTTTAGCTTCATTGCAAAGCCAGGTCAGACAGAGGAGGAAATCCACGTACTTGGTGTTGCACTTTGGATATATACTTTTGTCTACACGGGGGTGTTCATGGACATACATGTTTAATAGTAACTAGTAAGAGATAAAGCTTAAACATCATAGTAGTCTTCAGCAACAAGGAGACTCAATATCTTATCTTACTCCTGTGGATTTTGGATTTTGTGGGTAATTAAGGAAATAAAAATTAAAAAATTAAAGTTTGCATCTGCCTACGAAAGACTGCTTTATTGGAGTTGCCTCTGAGTCCACAGTAGGTTCAGTTTTAAAATTTGATTTTGTGATCATTTTTTACTGGTGTGTTATTCAGCAAGAAAGGAATTCGGTTGTCTAACTTAATTGGGGCACATCAATTAAAACCACAAAGTCTACAATGGACTTAGCATGATTGATTGGAAAACAAGAGCAGGGAAGTTCATTTTTTTTAGGCATATGTGTGGTATTTTCCCCTGAAATAACTTCTGCAGATGTAATTTTAAGCATTGGAGACATTTTATTGAGAAAAAAAAAAAAGAAGTTGCTGACTTCATCAGAAGTAGAAGCCTAGTAAAAATGGAGCTTGGAACAGTAAACCAATCCAGAGCTGAGGTAGAAGCAGGTAACCTCTGACCTCTGACTTTTTACTGGAAAATGATATGCAGCATAAATCCAAGAGGCCTTTTTTTTTCTTTCAAGTGTGTGTGTATGTGTTATGGCATCGCTGTTCAGAGCGTGAGGGTGGTGTCAGCACTTTCCATGTGAGGCCTGGCCTGAAGAATTCTACTTACACTCTGAGTTTTCCAAGAGGTGTAAATGCAATCTAAAATTTTTTTTCCTATAGCCCAGAATGGCTACACGGGGTCACAGCCTAGTGCTTTGTTTCATTTTTTATTTCGTTTCTTGCTTTAAAAAACATATTTCATCTAAGAATCAGCGGGCCATTCAGCTGAGGCGTGAAGGCTTGCAGACTGAGGGAAGGGGGCAGAACTTAGAGACTGTGATGAACAGGTTTCCTAAACACCATCAGATCAGAGGGTTTTTGGAGGGCAAAGATCTCATGCTATGCCGTCCTCTTATAGCTGTGACCAGAAATCAGGAGTTAGTTCTTAGGTTTCTGTCATTTGACCCGTGGTCTCCGGAAGCTCAGTTCATGATGGCTGTGGTTACCTCTAGGAGCCACATTCTCTGCCTGGGACCATCTTTGCACTCCTGCTGTTTCTCTTTATGCTTCTTACACTTAAAGCCCCCACCTATGTGTTTGAAAAAGTTCTTTCATGTAAATGACCTCATTTGAGTGATCTAGGTTGAATCATTCGAAAACAATCTTGTTTTGGAGAAATGGTTAAGAAATGGTCAAACAGTTAAGAACATTGATGCTTTTGTGGGGGACCTGGGTTCCATTCCTAGTACCCATGTCGGACAGCTCATAACCTCTGTATCTCTGGTTCCAGGGAACCTAACACCCTCTCCTGGCCTCCTTGAATACTGCACATATGTGGTGCACATACAGATGAGTTGGCACATACACAAATGTATACATGAAAATAAATTTTAAAATTTCAAAAACGAATAGAAACAACCCTGGTGCCAGACAAAGCAGAGGAAGTCAATATAAGCTAGGCAGGGTTTAGGATATGCTGGCGTCTCAGACCCACCTGTTACAAGGGTCCTGCATGCAAGAGTCTTCTCATCCCACCCTCTTCCTTATCTGCCCAGCAAAGGACCCAGTCAGTTACTCACCCTGTGAGTAGACCTTCTGTGGAATCCCTCCCACACCAACTTGTAAGAGCAGGAAGAGGAGGCGTACCTCTAGTCTTCCTTGCTTTCCTGGCGGATTGTCTTTGGCACACAGTGCTATTTCTGCTGAATGCAGAATGATGCCTGAAAGTGTTGCTCAGACAACTTGTGGGCATTTCTGTGCTAACCTGGACCCTTCTAAACCTGTTTCCTCGTCCCTGAGACCTGTGGAGCTGAGCCTTTGTGCGGCTTCTGGATTAACTGTGCAAAGTGATGCTGCATGCCCTCCCTGTCTGCCTTTTCTGGCAGGCATGGGAATGGAAGCTGTGCCAGCATTTGGCTCATAGTATGTATCCTAAACAGTTATTTACACAGTTTGAGCCCATTTTAGTCAACTGGATAAATAACAGCCCTCTTCAAAAGATTTATAAATCCATAAATATGTCTTCATACATACCCAATAGACATAAATAACTCAGTCTGTCGAGAACATACCCAAAGAGGTGTTTCCCCCACAGACAGGAGCAAATTTCACATTTCAAAACTTTCTTCACTACATTATTCGAATTGAATTTAGTTTTAGTTTCACCACATCATTAGGGAGCCTGTGGAACAAAATAAGTAAGTGGATAGATGGATGAATAGATAGACAGACAGACAGACAGACAGACAGACAGATAAAAAGTCCCTTCGTCTTTGGCCCTTATTTAACAGCCTGCCTTGTGCACAGTGTAAGGCACTAAGCAGTCATGCACATTTCAAATGAGTTCGGTGTTGTTGACTCTTCAAAGAAAGTAAGTCATTCAGGAAAATCTTAACTTCCTGAGAAGTTCAGAAGGTGCAATAGCCCTTCCTTAGTGCTTCAGAAATTTGGGTGATTCTAGAATGCCTGGTCTTTTTCATAATAATTACTGTTATAATCAATAAAATAATTTTAAGACAAATTTTGCATAAGACTAAGTAAGTAAGTAAATAAATAAATCCAAGTGTGGGTATTCAAAAGAGAATATAGATAAAGTATATAATTATGAAGATACCAAATATATTATGGTTCAGGGGCTTAATGTTAATTCACAATTTGCATAATATGTCCATGTCCATGTTGAGTTTTTTTGTTGCTGTGATGAAACATCTTGAAACAATTTAAAGAAGGATTAATTTTTATTTTGTCTCACTTTTTCAAGGGTTGAAATCTTGAAAAAGTCAGGCTCACTTGCACCTCCATTGCTTCTGAGCCTGTGTGTGATGAAGCTGAACATGGTGGGCAGTATGACGGGGAGCAGTGTGTCCCTTCATGGTAGACAGGAGGCAGAAAGACAGCAAAGGACAGAATAAGATATACCTTCAGGGACATGGTCCTGCGACCTACTTCCTCCAAGCAAGCCCCGCCTCCAAACCATCCATCCAACTATGGATTTGTCAATGGATTAACCATTGATGAGGTTTCAAGCCCTCATGTCTACTCCCCTTTCAAACAGCTATCACCTAGTGACCAAACGTTTAACACGTGAACCTTTAGAGGGGACACGTCATATTTAAATCATAACGGTATCTCTTCCTCAACTGAAATCACTTATCATGACAACTCTTCCTGTGTCGACCACTTTCATTTCACATTAACACTTGTGACCCCTTTCCAGACGTTAATTCTTTAACAATGAAACCCCTTAAAACTGGCATCGAGAAGGGAGGGCTTCATGTCTGTGGTTTGGTAGAGGCTTCTATTGCTGTTGCTATGACATTGATATTATCTGTTCTCTAACTTCCTTCAAAGAATTTCCAAAGACATTAGAGAAAAAAAAAATTATCCCCTTGGCTCTTTGCTAGCTTGTCATTTTGCAGGAGAAAAAGGAAGTTGAGGAGAAATACTAGAAAGCTGCTGTCAAATCCAACCCTGAGATCTTAGACTCTGGGCTGCACAAGTGCATCAGAACAGGGTGTCCAGCCTTCCTGTGCAGTGTGGCAGGAGGTGGTACACGTTGGCAGGTGTGAATTTTCATATGTCTCCTTTATCTTTCCGTGCACGGCTGTCCTGTTGAACAGAGAACAGCTCCATTGTAGGAAGCAGTTTGGAGCAGAATGCCTAGCCAACCTAGTGCCTCTTCCACTGGATCCAAACTCCTTGCTCAGGGATGCTGCAGCCATCTGCTTCCCAAGTAGCTTTTGCAATGATTGGCAGAATTATGAGTTGGGTCATGTCTTTTCTGGTCCAAAGTCAAGACAGCTGACTAGCTGATAATAAAAATAATAGTACAGGATGCAAGACTTGTTGGTTGGGTAGGTATACCATTCTCTCATCGTGTGGACCAGATCATGGGGCACAGAGAAGCTCAGAGTCTGACTGAAGGCCACATGTTGGTTGGTCTAACCTCAGAACTCACATTCTGCTCCCCACAGTGTGAATAGGAACTAGGTTATTTGGTACTTCTGTCTGTTGCCAATACAGTCTCTCTTCTCCTCTGTCTGTACTGGTCCAGTGCTGGGCTCTGTCATGTGACCGCCATAGAATGGGTGGGATCAGTGAGATGCAGGGGTATTGCTTTGCTGGAGAGCGAGGACCTAGCTTTGTATTCTAAGAGGAATGAGGACTGTGCTAGTCACAAAGGGAGCACAATGATTGATATGATTAATTTGCATTCTGAATTAAGAGCCCGTACTATTTCCCACCTTCA